GAATTGGAATTATCTGTTTTCTAATTAGGCCTATCCTGAAGCCAAACGAAACGCGATCTACTCTGTTTGGTCACAACTTCCATCTCTGCAGGGAGTTGATGAAGAATCCAGAGACTTGGCTCTTTATAACAAGATTCGCTGCCTGCGCAGGGATTCCCACAAGGTTGACAATTATCTCAAGCTCCTGAGATGCAGAATTATCCATAACAACAACTGCTAAGCCCACATTCATTCCATTTACTTCTGAGATGGTCCTTAAACGTCTGTTTCTTCAAAACTTCTGTTAGTATTATAGCTTTCAGTGCATGCTTGCGTGCAATGGGTATCTTTAAAGAATAAAAACTAACTTTTTAAAAACGCCAAAGTCTGAAAAAGCAATCTGTCAACATTTCACTTGTTAATTTAATAGAAAATATTACACTGACATCATTATGTTTTCAAATTTTGTCACAAATAACAGGTTCAAGGATTATAAATAATACAAATGGCAAAGTAACTTAAAAGTATAGAAAGTTAATATGGGCCAAGATTTTCAGAATTGAAGAAGGAAGTCACTATTAACAAGTCCATCTAGTCTTCCCAAAAGGTTAAAAGCTAGATCATTTCTATGAGACAAATTTCTAGTGTAGGATTGGATAAATCAAGCACGATGAAAATGGGTTGCTTCTATACAGTACACTATCAGCCAAGCAATCTGAAAGTGTTAGGATACAACCATGTATTATCCCTAGCTATCTTTAAAAATTGGCTTTAGCAATTCTCCTCTGCAGTCATTTTACTCAGTATGATAAGGTGAAGAAGCAGGTTCAGACAGAAAGATACCAGATTACAGAAAATTAAGTAGTGCAGTGTTTTCCATACATATTGAGCTAATCAACTTGCACTCCGGAGGAAAAAGTTGTTACATGCTTTGAGGACAAACCACACTGTAGGAGACTTTCTTAAAATTTTCTAATTATTACTACAGAATCAAAAATCAAATGACAATTTTTTACTCTCTTGAAATTGGTCACCATGTATAAGTTTCCATGACATTTCTATCTCCCACATTGCTTATTAGTGGAAAAATGCATCTGGAAAAAACAATAAATCTAACACTTTAAAAATGTGTACATACATATACACCAGACATAGCAGTAGATAAGCCTGATGTTTATAAATCAATTAAATAAGTGGCTAGTGCATAGGGTCAGTTTCTTACACAGGAGATTTTGGAAAAGGAGGCATGTGATGCTCCTAATCTACATATGATTCTATAACTGTTGCTGATTCCACAGCAGAACTAAATATATAGACCATATTACTGAAGGTACTGAAGAAAACTTAGCTGCAAAATTAAATTTTAAAAATTGAGCTTATAGCGGTGTAAAACTTCCCAAACCTTGGAATGCCTTCCATAGTACTAAAAGTCATTATGTAGAATATTTCAGGATAAATATCAACAATTGTTATGCTCAGCAACATGGTAAGGCAATCCTGGCAAAGTTTATCAACTAATGAAGCAGTGACACACAACAGTTATAAACTGCAATCAACTCTTAGCTGATTTGATTTCTTGTGTGTCACCTCACACAAGAAAATCCAGAGGTTATGTAAGATGAATTGATAAACTGTCTTATTCATAAAAAAAACCTGGAGCCTGATATTGGGGTGAAAACTGAGATCAGAGGAATCGGACAAGCCACAGCCAACCTCACCTCACTGACACCTCAGCCTCCAGAGAGAGAGCCTCTTCCTGAATACTGAAGCTTAAATCCTTTCTGTCCCTGCCATCTCATTTCGTCTCTCCACCCAGCCTCATCACTTCCTCTTTCTGCCCAGCTCTGTCATTTCCTGTCTGTCTGTACAGACCTCCAGACCTTTATGGTCAACTAGTGTTAGAATTTAAAGGCATGTGCCACCATGTCTGGCTCTGTTTCCAGTGTGGCCTTGAGCTCACAGAGATCTAGATGAATCTCTGTCTCCCAAATGCTAGGATTAAAGGTATGTGCTACCATTGCCTGACTTCTATGTTTAATATAGTGGCTGGCTTTTTCCTTGGATCTCCAGGTAAACTTTATTTATTAGTGCACAAATAAAATATCACCACAAGGTTATATCTGTAGAGAGTAAGAAATACAAATAGAAAGAATTAACAGTGCTTGAGGAAGTCATGGTCTCCATCAATAAGGATATGATCAGATTTTTGTTAAATGGATGTGATGTGCCTGCTATTGTGCCTGCTAAACCTTTCTGTTCAGATCTGTGGGTTACCTACTCCTTTGAGAGAAACAATTTCCAGTGTTGATGGTTAAAGAAATATATTTGTGTTTAATTAAAATGTCTAGGATTATTGACGCTTACTGAGATAGGGTGGTCCATGCTCATACAAGCATTGAAAGCATTTATCATCACTTGAATCACTCAAGAATAGTTGGAGAAAATATGACAGACATAAGGTCTTGAACTAAGGCAAGGTATGAGGGAATAAGTCTATTCTCCTGCCAATCTGGAAATGAGTAATTATGAAGCAGAGATGGTGTTGGAGATTGCAAAATGACTTGAAGTCTCTAGCTGACATGTGGAAAAGCAAAGCAGCACATAGAGATAGGACTGTGTTAAAGGTAAATAAGGTGTCAATACTCCCTGAAGGGAGAGTGTCACTGATCTATAGACATTGATCCAATCTGTCCCCCAGCTCTGCTTGGCCTTGAGTACATCTGTTTGTGTATATATATAAGAGGCAGAAAGTTGAATGAAAGCACCAGTGAGGTGAAGCAGCTTTTCTGAGTTGGGGACCACATTGTGTTGTCAGTTCTGAGAGATGCAGCTTACTTCTACTCAACCATGTAAGTAGCCCTCCATCATGCTCCCCTAAGCTTTAGCATGCATTATTTCTTGAAGACTTGTTTGGAGAACATATTTTCTATGGTGTTATCAGTGCTGTATATTCTAAGAAGCAGTGCTTGATTGTGCTTCATCTGGAGACAAGGCAACAGAGACTAGAGAATGTTTTATATTGCCATCGCTCAATCAACTTTGAAATCATTGGTTTTCACTTTATTGATAGACAGGAAAAGGGGGACAGTGCGACAGGTGTTTAAGGGGTACCTTCTAGTAAACATTTTCCTTTGCAGAGTATCCTTCTAGAACAAGAAATAATGCAACTCAAATGACCAATTTGAATTACTGAGAAATTGTTCTTTGTAAAGAGCACAAAATTCAGTGGTCTAACTGAATCTACAAGATTCAGTTGTCTAATTCAGCTAGAGAAAGAGGAAGTTTTAATTATGTTTGGTCACCAGGACTTGGATATGTATTTGCTTACTTAATACATCAGCCTGAATAAGCATCATTTCTGAAACCTAATGTAGATGATGATAGCAGGTTTGTGTCTTTATCAATTTACAACATGTCAAATTACATGAAAAAAAAAAAGAAAAGCATTCTTGAGTTAACAAATAATCTTAACACTTAAGGGGTATTTATAAAAAATGGATTAGTTACAGCTGTCAAGATTATTTACATTATCATTATTATTATTATTATTATGAAAGTGAGCATAAAATCCTAAGACTTTCCGACATGTGCAGACAATGTCTTGAAGAACCTGGCTTAGAGTTAATTAAAGCTCCATGTGTTTGCAAAGTTAGGAAGCTCACCTTAGCAAGCCCCAACTGCACAAAATTTTCTCTAGTTCAAGCTGTGTACCAGAGAAATGTATTTATTTTCCTGTATTTGCCTAGTTTAAAAAGCATATTGACTTTTCTGCTACATCAAATCAAATCATGTAGCAGAGGGCCCAAAGAACAGACAACATTCTCAGACAATTTAACTGTTGAAAACTCAATTGAATAAATTATCTCATTTCATTTCTCCTAAAGCAGTGATGCGTCTGTTGCTGCTATTGACAAATCTTCTCCTTTGGGAGCATGTGTCCTCCAAAACCAATCTCCTTCTGTCCACTAAAGACCTGTATCATCATGTGGGTGAACAGGCTCATACCAGCTATGACATGTCTGCAGATATATACCATGAGTTTGTAAGTTCCTCAGTTGCTTCTTGCTTTTTCTCTAGTGAAGCCTTCAGAAAATGCCACTAGTTAAATCAGAAATCACCATTAACTGACTGTGACATGATAAAAATCTAAAGTTGGTAGAAGAATGAGATGCTAAAATGTGAATCAGAGAACCTGGGAGGTTTTATAAAATCTCAAAATTTTATAAGAATGAAATTATTTTTTTCAATTAATAGACTTTAAAAATAAGAGCATAATTTGAACTTCCACTTTTGATATTCGATCCCAAAAGAATTATAGGAAGGAACTGTGATTTCTCAGTCTTTTGTGGAAAGGTCCAGCCTCTGTGGAAATTTTTCACTCACTCCTCTGAAGATATTTACTGTAAGAGAACTACACTGTAGTGAATTGTATGCACAGAATAAAAGTAAAACAATCTGAAACATGTAAATGGGGGAGGTGATATCCAGCTGCTCAGAAACTCGCAAATGCCAAGAAATATTGTTTGGCATTTCTAGTGGGGAACATCTCATTCCAAAAGAGAGCTTGTATAGAAGGGAAATCTGTCCTCCCCTTCCTAATGGAGACACGTGATCTCTGGGTTCTCTCAAGGAGGAAAATACAAGATAAGAAATCAGGAGAATTTGTCTTTAGAGCTGTAAAGAGTACACATTCCCATTGTGTTTTTCACTCATTAGTGTTTCTTTCATTCTCTGTTCTCTTACAATCTTTCTGCGTGGCATTCCCAGAAACCCATTAGCCTTCTACCAATGTTCTCATTACTAATATTAAATAACTTGTATTAAAAAAATACCCGTTGCCGGGCGGTGGTGGCACATGCCTTTAATCCCAGCACTCAGGAGGCATAGCCAGGCGGATCTCTGTGAGTTCGAGGCCAGCCTGGGCTACCAAGTGAGTTTCAGGAAAGGCGCAAAGCTAAACAGAGAAACCCTGTCTCGCAAAAAACAAACAAACAAAAAAATACCCGAGGAAATATAATCCACAACTGATTACTATATGAACTTTAAATAATATTTTGTGCATTTTTCTTCACTCCTTGCTAAGTATATCCTTAAACCAAGCCCAGATTATTTTTATATTTTGACTCTATCAACATTACTGCATTGTACTTTCACCATGAATATGGTGTTACACAAACAAAAACATGGCAGAATTTTAGAGAAAAGATAAATTTATAATTACTAACTAAAGGAAATACATTCATTTGGGTCAATGGAAAAACAAGACATGAAATTGTAAACATAATCATTATTCTATAACACTCAACTCAAATCCTAGGGAAAACTATACTTAAAACTGTAAGTTTTTGATTTGGAGGTTGTGTGGTTTTTAGTGCTTGCTTTCTAAACTATAACATTTTAAAGGACAAAAAATAAGAGACTATTAAAGAAGGGTTAGAGGTTGGGAGATCAGTAAGCTAGATTGGATATCTAAAGGGAAAAAATAATGAACAAATGAATTTTCATTATTCCTGTGTTTTAATTTTTATGAAGTTCTTGTGGTTTTTTTTAAATAAGCCTTATCAATTACATTGATGCTATGGTCATATATGTTTTCATTCAATTCTGAAGTCCAATATATTGAATGGTATCATTTCTTCCAGAATGTAAAGTTTGCCAAAGCAAGTTGGCTAAAGGACAGGGTGCCCAGCGTGTGCCACACTGCTTCCATCTGGACTCCAGAGAGCATTAAGCAGCTTCGTGAAACAAAAGTAGGTTTCCTTCTTGATTTTCCCTGAAACAAGTAAAGATGTGCACAGCCTAGAAGCCAAACAGGGGTGATCTCTGATCTATAGAATGGAGGAAGAAGCAACAGTCAGCAAATCATCAACCACATCTCACAGAAGATAACTTACACACTAGGCCAGTGCCAACTTACATTACAGCAGATTCAGAAGTTCCAAGGACAATTTTTAGCATCACCATGGTAGGATTGTTCTTATTACTCTCTGGGAAGCTGCTTTGATATGAACTGAACACTTATACTTGAATATACATTTACAAACATGGGCAAGAAATGCATATACAGCAGTTATATAGTATAATACTAAAGGCTCCTCCTCTAGTAGGATGCAACCTAACTAACCATTGTGTCATTTAGTTTCTGTTTTTAAGACTTTCTTTGTCCCACTGCCATTTCTACAATATGGGCTGCCTTCCCCGACTGTTGTGCCTTCTCTTATACCATAAGTGAAAATCGCCTATGTAAGAAGCTCCTCTTCATACAATGTCTTGTTTATCGGGATGACCCCTGTTTGACGAGGTCTGTACGAGACCATAGTTCCGTGTCTTTCCTCTGACTCTCTATGTCAAGCAGAGTTTGATTTGATTTACCATAAAAATTTATGTGAACGCATATAATGAGGAGTCATGTAGATGTAGAGAAATATGGTTTTGAAAGCTGTATTTCCAGTGATGTGTCATTGTTTTAACACTCGACCATAATATGTAAGTCCAAAGTGAATACATGAAAGGTCAATTTGATTCATTGGTGTGCAAATTATGTGGACCACTTGTCCCTGACAGTGTTGGTATCTATGTTATGTAAAACCAGGTCCTGAAGACATTTCCTGAGTCCCAGTAATCCTAACATTCTTACAGAGTGGGTTAGGAATAAAAAGGAATATTTGTCTTAGGGTTTCTATTAATGAAGAAATACCATGACCAGAGAAACTCTTATGAAGGAAAACATTTAATTATAGTAGCTCACTTACAGTTCAGAGGTCTAGTCCATTACAGTCATGGTGGGAAGCAAGGCAACATGCAGGTAGACATGGTGCTGGAGCTGAGAGTTCTTGCATCTTGATCCAAAGGCTAAAGAAAGTGTGGCTTGAGCATGAATGACACCTCAAATCCCACCTTCATAGTGACACACTTCCTCCAACAACAACACACCTACTCCAACAAAGCATACCTCTTAATAGTGCTACTTATTCCCCTTGGGGGCTATTTTCTTTCAAGCTACCACAAGGACAGATGGTTGCATGTAGAGTGAAAGCAAAAGAAAATTACTTTGACCTGTCAGTAGAAAAAATTGTTCATATCTGACTAGTTTCATTGAGAAAACTATAGTACATTGGCTAAAATTTTACATTTCTTCAATGTGTAAATAGTATGGACATATGTATTAATAACAAACATATACTGTAGTTTACCATCTTTTATAAAATCAGCAGATATCTACCTTCTGGAATCTCACTTAGTTTAATGTGATGTTCAATCATTCTTCCTTAGACAGAAGACATTCTGAAAGCAGTCATTATTATTTTGCGTGCCTGGGATTATCCTCTTATACACCTGGTGCTTGCCACAACCATTCTCCCAACAGTGTCTGCATCTAATAATATGCTGCAAAGAATCAATGTTGTGAAGAATGGAATTATAGGACTTTTGGAGGGACTTGAGATCATACTCAGCAGGGTAAGCTGCCTCTTCACATTTCATTGTTTGTTTCATACATGAAAGTGGTATTTTGTACAATGAGAAAAGAATTTTTAAATAATTCATTTGAAAGATTGAAATTTTTGTTTTACATTTGTTGACAATTTAGTAAGCAAGGGATCACTTGCAAATCTAACACCTGAGGTGCTTACTGAGAATGGCATAATAAACTGGTTTTAACAACAACAACAACAAACCCCACTGTTCATAATAATTTGGAAAGTGGCTTTTTTGGGTGAGGTGGACAGCCCTGCTTAATGTAGAAGATCTTATGATAGCAATTTCCTGTTTCTCCTGTATCTTAAAACTCTAAATAAAATATGTTAATAATATCTAAGGATTCAGAAATATGCATAGAACAAAGAATATTTAAAGTTAGAAGATGAGGACACTCTACTAGAACCATGGGTTATGAAAGGAACATTACAGAAAGTACTGAGAATGTGCAAAATTCCTTGAACTGAAAGAAATTCCACTAACCCCTCCATTTTCCTATGGTTCAAATCTATGTATTCAGTCAAGTACAACTTTCTGGCTTTCCTTCTCTCTACTTGCATATTGATATATTTCATCTGGGATCAATGGCACACCCAAAATACATAAATTCATCAGACTTCTAGGTTTCGATGACTAATCCTTTTATGGTATTGGCCCAAGTATCTGAAAATCCATGATTTATAATTAGTTTTTCTCTCCTCTATGTTCTACTGAACAATTCAAAATTTTACAAGGAATATCCGCTGGCCTGAGGATATGTCTCATTTCTGTAAATATTGTTCTTATTTATATTAGGATCTGATTTAATCTCATTATTCTTGTCAAGAGGGGGTGTAGTATCTTCTCCACATAAGGGCATCGTTAGAGGGGAAGACATATGGAAATCTAAGGTGGATTCTGGGTAGAATAGAAAGAAGTAAACTCAAAACACAAGTTATGAGTCACAGGAGGATATTTACTGAAGATTGACCTCTGACCAGAAAATGCATGCACATATACACTCACACACATACACATTCATACACACATATACACATTAAGTGAAAGGAAAAACAAATGCTAATAATGTCAATGATACCTATCTATTTTGTGCACAGACCCAGCCTGGAGTTATAGTTGACTATCCTCATTGATCAGGACAGAGAGAATTTCAGTCATCAGATGAAGACACTCGCCTTTTTGCTATGTATAACCTTTGCCACTGCCTGAGAAGACACACAAAAGGTTGAAAGTTACCTCAAGATCCTGAAGGACCAAGTCATCTTTAAGGGTAACTATTAATCAGAGAAGCTTCCTCCTGCAACAGATGACTAAAAAATACAAAGTTCCACAGATAGACATTATGCAGAGACTGGGATATCTTGGAGCAATCAGCCCTAAATGGGATGTTTCTATCAAATCCCTCCCCTTAGAGTTCAGGGAATCCTGCATCAGAGAAAGCAAAACAGTTTAAGAGACAGAGGAGATAGAAAACACCAAGAAAATAAGGCTCTCTTTATCAGCATGAACAAAGCTCATATGAACTCACAGAGACTGAGGTATCATGCACAAGGCCTGCACGGGTCTGTACCAGATCCTCTGCATTTATACTACAGCTTCCAGTTTAGTGTTTTTTTTTTTTTTTTAAATGGGATTCCTGGATATGGGAATGAGTGAGTCTTTGATTCTTTTGCCTTATCTTAGGCTCTTTTCTTTTCATTGGTCTATCTTGTCCAACTTCACTCAATGTGATAGTTTTGGTTTTGTCTTAACATACTTTATTTTGTTATATGAATAAACTGAATGATAAATAAATGAAGCCTGTGACTACAATAAAGGTTAATAGCTGAACTGTCACTTACCTTCTGGGAGAGGGAAAATCACTTTTCTCCAATGGAGTGGCACTAGATATATCAATCATTTCAGAACAGATCTTTGTTCAGGAGTATTTGACTAACATATAATTGACTCCATAGATATTTTTAATGTGTGCTTTTATTTAGTTACATTTTGGTTTATTTTTTACATTTTGGTGTTTTTTTCCCTTAGGTGTTGATTTATTTTGTTTTCTTGGTTTGAGGGGACTTTGTTGTATTAGGTTTTTGCTTGTTTTTTGAGAAATAAATTAAAGTTGAGTAGGAAGAGGGAGAGGATCTAGAAGTACTTTCAGGAGGGGAAGAATATGATCAAAATGTATTTAAATTTAAAAACTGCTTTCAAGCAAAAAAAAAAAAACTAAGATAAAAGTGTGAAAAAAAGAGTAACTGTTAAATGCACATCCCTGCAACATTCTGCTGAAATGGCCCTTGGTGAACGAGACTTTCAATTCTTTCCAAAATTTTTATTTTTGGATGCATGCATTGTTACAGTGAATTTCTTATAAAGTAAAAGTCATTCTTTAGAAATGTTCAATGCAAAGTGAAAATTGGTTAGTTTCCTGTGCCCATTTAATATACAATCAATTTTTAGTTTTGTGATGTTCTTGGAAAATTTTTTTACAAGTTTGCTGTTTGCAGAGCCAATAAAACAACTGGCAACTTACTTTATAATCAAAGTAAATAAAAAGGACCAAATTAAGTAAAACTGAAGAAAGCGATTGCTACTACTAAGTAGATCCTTTGAATGGACATCTGGGATAGTTTACAAAGACAAACCATTCAGTGAGCAAATTTTCACTGTAATAAGACAATACAAGTTGCATGCTATGTATTTTCTAGGAGTACCACCAATTTTATATGTTCCGAGTTGTGTTAGAAAAGAAGCAGAGAATGGCTCTATATTCCTCCAGCACCCATTTCCAACCACAATCCTTCTTAGGGCCATCTTAGGAAGATCACACATGCTGTGGGATATTCTGTATGGCAAGTGTGTTGCTCTGATTGGTCAATAAATAAAATACTGATTGGCCAGTGGCTAGGCAGGAAGTATAGGCAGGACTAACAGAGAGGAGAAAAGAAAGAACAGGAAGGTAGAAGGAGTCACTGCCAGCCCCCGCCAGGACAAGCAAAATGTGAAGATGCCAGTAAGCCATGGGCCACGTGGCAAGGTATAGATTTATGGAAAAGGATTAATTTAAGCTATAAGAACAGTTAGCAAGAAGCCTGCCACAGCCATACAGTTTGTAAGCAATATAAGTCTCTGTGTTTAATTGGTTGGGTCTGAGCAGCTGTGGGACTGGCGGGTGAGAGAAATTTGTCCTGACTGTGGGTCAGGCAGGAAAACTCTAGCAACACACACATGTCTGGATTACTGTGGTTCTGATAACGTTTCATTCTACATGCATTGTATTTAACATCCTGCCTCGATCCTCCACTTGTTAAGGCTTCACAGCAGTGGAACATGAAAGTATATGTTCTTCCAATATCTCTGCCTTTTCTTTCTTCTGCATATTGATTCCTGTGATTTTATCAAAATTCAGAAGGGAGAATCAATGTAAAATTTTGATATGTTAATTTTGCTAACTGAAGAGTTTTACTGACTAGGGATGGAGTCAAATCCCTCTGAGAATCAGGTACTTTTCTCTGGGCACACAGTGGTGTCCCAAGAACACCAGTGGGGAAGCATCAAAGGATAGTGACTTGTTGCTGGAGGGCTTCTCTCCAGGTTCCCCAAGCCCCGCAGTCCCACAATCCACTTATAAAATAATCACTCAGACGCTTATATCACTTATAAACTGTATGGCCGTGGCAGGCTTCTTGTTAACTGTTCTTTTATCTTAAATTAACCAATTTTTATAAATCTATACCTTGTCACGTGGCTGGTGGCTTGCCAGAGTCTTTACATGCTGCTTGTCCTGGCGGTGGCTGCAGTGTCTCCCCGCTCAGCCTTCTGCTTCCCAGAATTCTCCTCTCTCCTTGTCCCACCTACTTCCTGCCTGGCAACCTACTTCCTGCCTGGTCACTGGCCATCAGTGTTTTATTTATATAGAGCAATATCCACAGCAGTGACTTTTGTTAGGAGTTGTCCCCGGCTAGGTCCTGTTGTCTGCAGGGGAGCTCTGCTACCCATGTCAGCCTGTAGCCTCTGTGCATGGATGGCCCTCTCAACCTGAGTGCACACTGCTGGAGAAGTAGCTCAAAGAATTGTCTCCACTAACTGACACATTGTCACAGGCACAGGGCTGACTCCAGAAGGGGAACAGTGACAACACTAGATCCCTGTGGGGGGAGAGAGAGAGAGAGAGAGAGAGAGAGAGAGAGAGAGAGGTAATGGTGATAACATAGCAATCTGTTATTTAAGGAATTTAGGTGAAAGACGTAGGTGGATTATATCTATTGTTCTTCCAATATTTTTGTAAGTTTAAAACTAATTTAAAATCAGTGTATAAAGAACCCCTATTTTGAAAAAAAGAAAGTAGAAAAATCACATACATAAAATCAGGATCACATTTTCCAAGCTGTACTGCAGGGATGGAAGGCGTGTGAGCCCAGTCAGGAGTGGCTTCTTCAGTGTCAGCAGGGTGGGAATTGCACTGAGTCCTCAGTTCGCTCAGCTGACAATAATTCCGTGTGGTTGGGAGATGCCACAGCACATAAAGGCTCTTCTCTCTAAGCTTGACAAATCAAGTGCAATTCAGAGACCCACATTTTGTAGGAGAAAATCCACTCTGGAATAATAGCTTCTGACCTCTGTATGGGTTATGCCCTCATGCACATCCCCACAAGAGCATCACATACATGTCCACAAAACAAATAAAGCAAAATTCTTTTACAAAGGTTTTTCTTAATCGAAAACTCAAAAATCACTCTCCTTGCTTCATCAAACTAAATTTTAAGAAGTAGATATTGGATTAGAAAAAAGAGTGAGTTGTTCCTAATTAGCAAACTTTTATTCTAAACAGTGTTTCTAAATTTAATTACAAATGTAGTTTTTAATTAAACCTAGAAAGTATAAAGATGGCCTTCCCTTTTTGACAAAAGAATATCAATTTATTTTATAGTTGTTCCAATGCAGGTACAGAGACTACTACTACAATTTCATAGCAAAGATGAAATGATTGCCATGAAAAATATACATTTTTTCATCATTTAAAAATTTTCTTAATGCAATTGTTTTCTTCAAATACACATCTTGTTCCTCACTTTCAATTCCTCCTTTGTTTGCTTCCTAACTTTTTCTTCCAACTTCATGTCTTCTGATTTAATCCCATGGAATCCACTAAGTACAGTGGGTTTGTTCAATGAAGTTAGGATAATCCACCTGAGCATGGGAAGTATCCCAGGAACTTCATCTTTATAGAAAATCCAGGCACCTTTCTCCAGAAGACATCTCTGCCCTGCCACTAACTGCTCAGCAAGTTGTAAGACTTCATTAGCTCTTTTTTTAATTAATGATGATTTCCTCCTTTTTCTTTCTTTCCTTCTTTCTTTCTTTCTTTCTTTCTTTCTTTCTTTCTTTCTTTCTTTCTTTCTTTCTTTCTCTCTCTCTCTCTCTCTCTCTCTCTCTCTCTCTTTCTTTCTTTCTTTCTTCCTTTCTTTCTTCAAGATTAATCATGGGAGTTACTGTGTATAATGGGACTGCCATGTTCTGCAAATAGTCCAGCAAATTGGCAAATATCTTAACTACATATGTCCACTACCTTTTACTCTGACAATTTTTCAAATACCTTTTCTATGATTATCACCGAGAATTGTTGGAAGAAGTTATGATATAGATACCCTATTTAGAGGTGAATACTCGACAGTGTCTTGTAGGTGCATTATAACTGGTTGTTAGTTTCTGAATAAATACTATATAGTGCATAAAAAGCTTCTCTGATGAAAGTACAGAGATACTTTTTATTGTATGTGTATTTTAAAAAAGGACTATGTGACAGTTCATGTAATTTGAGAAGAATAATAACACCAAATTACCCATTAGAACCTATGAAATAAGAAGTAATGTGATTCTGGACTGGATAATAAAAGCAGGAATGATTTGTCTTGTAGAGCAGGCCTTAAATCTCAACACCCATGCCACTCCTGCTACAGTGAATATATGCTCATAAGATACTCATCATAGCTATTGTCCCTGTGCTTTTTCCAATCATGGTCTCAATATCTCTTGCTCATAATAATCCCTCCTCTCTCTCTCACCGATTGGACTCCTGGAGCTCTACCTGGGGCTCAGCCATGAATCTCTGCATCTGCTTCCACCAGTCACTGGATGAGAGTTCTATCATGACAGTTAGGGTGTTCTGCCATCCAACCACCAGAGTAGGTCAGCTCAGGCACTCTCTTGACAATTGCTAGTAGTCTACAGTGGAGGTATCTTTGTGGATTTCTGGGGGCCTCTCTAGCACTCTGCTTCTTGCTATTCCCCTGGGGTCTTCATTCACCATGTTATCTCCCTCCCCATTCTCCCACTCTGTTCCTGATCCAGCTGGGATCTCCCACTCCCCTAAGCTCTTTTTCCGCCAACCCTTGCCCTCCATTACTCCCACTCACATTCAGTTTGCTCATGTAGATCTCATCCATT